TCTCATTTTAATCTCACCTAAAAATTGCTGAGAAAAAGCCTTCAATTTGAGGTATTTTCATTTAAATTCATTATTACATTATTGTGGCAGATCAAAAGACTGATATAGATTTAAAAAAGTGACTTTATAAAGTCATTTATTGTTTAACAAATCTCTGCAAATTGGCTGTTGAGCCCAAGTCTCCATGAATAAGAAACTGTTTGTTGTAAAGTAGCAAAGACGAGGAAATCTGAACATAATAACTTTTGTCTACTTAAAGACAATAAAAAGTCCAGTCTTTCCTTAACCATATTAAAAAATATTATTGATAGAGAAATGCTTTATATATGAGATCACTGGTTTTAGTCCTGGTTTAGACCTGGTTTAGACCTGGTTTAGACCTACTTTAGTCCTAGTTTAGTCCTGGAATGGATTAATCCTGGTGTTAGTCCTGGTGTTAGTCCTGGTGTTAGTCCTGGTGTTAGTCCTGGTGTTAGTCCTGGTGTTAGTCCTGGTGTTAGTCCTGGTGTTAGTTCTGGTTTAGTCCTGGTTTAGTCCTGGTTTAGTCCTGGTTTAGTCCTGGTTTAGTCCTGGTTTTAGTTCTGGTTTTAGTCCTGGTTTAGTCCTGGTTTAGTCCTGGTTTTAGTCTTGGTGTTAGTTCTGGTTTAGAGGCGCACAGGAGGAAGTGCGGTTTCCGCCGCGTACGCGAGAAAACACGATCCACACGCGGCTCACGGGAGGACAGCGATGTCCGTGCAGTGTCTACGGAAGAAAACGTGGTCCGCCCGTTCTCAGGTTAATGACGATGATGAAGGTGTGTGTTTGTTTGTGTGTGTTTGTGTTTGTGTGTGTTTGTGTGCGTGTCCCCTCATGTGGCAGGTCACTATAGGACAGTAGTGCAGACATCATGAGCCTATGCAGGTTGTTTTCAGGCGATATTATATTTGTTATTTTCTTTTATATTTCACGTCGGGAGAATAATTTCCAAGACACGAATGTGTTTTTACCTGTGCGCTGCTGCCTCTGTTCTACTGGCTCTTCGACCTCGTCCATTGTGCGACTGACGCCGCCAACGTGAACATGCCGTTTACATCGCTCTTACTGCGCGCGTTTTGTGTGGCTTTCCGGCAATGAGTGGAATTACCGAAATAAAAAAATGTATAAATGTGTTTTGTGTGTGTGTGTGTTGTTGTCCCAACAACACATAAAAACAGGTTTTATAATAAAGAAACTCACATACAGAAACACTAAAGTTAGAGATTAAAAATGAGATTAACGCGATTAAAAAACATAACGCGCTAAATATGACTGTAATTAATTAATCGCAATTAACGCGATAATTTGACACCCCTAATATATATATATACACACACACACACACTTTTTTTTTTTTTCATTGTTAAGATTAGCAGCAAGAATGATTTATTTGCACTGATAGCTATTTCACAGAGTCAAATAAATTGGAGCTATGTACAAAAATGTGCCCATTGGAACCAATTAATTGTTTGAACCTGCCATAATAAGTGGATCTAAAATCTAAAAGGTGGATCTCCACTTTCTTTTCTCATTTGAACCTTTGGCATTAAATTAATGTTCTAAGATACTTTTTGGGTGTTTACAAATTTTTTTGGATATCTGGGGCACTGTAAATGAAAGGCTATTTTTCCCAAAAGGAAAAAAAAAATATGAGGAACTGTGTACATATGTTTTTACAGCAACATATATTCTTTTTGATAATAATTTTAAAAATATTCTCTGAGCCTTTTAATAATGAAAACATTTTTCAACCAAAATGATGAAGTTATGCAAGAAACAAAATTCAGAAATCACTAAAATTTGTTGTTATAGTTCTTCTTTCCTGACAGGAGGACAGCAATAGCTGAGGTTAGCTGAGGTTCAAATCACATGTGATGCAGACTGAACCTTTTATCCAAGGAGAAATGTACTTTTACTTTTATGTTAAAAATGTATAAGTAGTTAAATGTATGCACTACCTGAGCTGCACCAGTCTGTGCAATGCTATCTGAGGAAGAGACTGATGAGCTGTGTGCACTGGGACACTACATGTGAAGAGGATTTGTAATTTTCACCAATGTCTCGCGGTCCTTCCTTCAGTCACAGCACTCGAAGAGCACAACACTGATAAACTATGTCTTAACGGCTGTGCACCAAGACATTAAACTTTTAATAAACAAATGAATACCCATTACATATAGAATGTTATGAATCTTACCAACAGCAAGTCCCGGTGGTCCAGCCAATAGGCCTCCAACAAAAGCACTGCCTCCAGTCACCAGTGCACCTTTAGCGGAGTTCTTCACTGCAACCTTAATCTGTTCATGGGCTGATAACTCACAACACAGTCGCATCACATCATCAATCCGTGGGGCCATCTCTGTAAACAAAGACATAAAGGTGCTGAAATAATGCATGTAGCAAATGATAAGGAAACTGAGGTGATAGACAAGTCACTTCCTTTGTAACAATCCGGTTCAAGGTTTGGAGCGTGCAGCATTCATATAGGCTTAAAGGAAAGACAGTCAAGAACTTTTGGTTTCATTTCACTATATGGTACTTGCTAGCTAGTCAAATGATACTGTATGTTAGTTGATTTACAAGTAGGCTTTACTTTTTATTACCTCTGCTCTGCCAGTCAGTCATGCAGAAATAAGACTAACTAAAAAAGTTTGTCCTACTTCTTCCTAATAATTATACAGGTGTAGTTCCCCTATTTAGATCCCCTTCACGCTCTCGAATTTGATGTAATAATATCAGACGGATGGCATGGGCCCCCTCAAGTCCTTTCATCTGACCAGTATCTGATCAGGATCTGACCAGTATGCTGTGATGTCATCAGATGCCATCACTACATTCTACAGGCCAATATTAGTTAATACAAAGGGGTGGCAGCTAAAATTAATATTGTTCAGCTGCACATTTTTGTTGCAATATGGCATGGTCTTGGGTTGAGTCGATAACAGACATCATCAGGTTCCATATCTGTGAATTCACCTTTCAGATATTTCATGGAAAAGTTAATAGGAAAAACTGGCTCTTGTTCCCCATCTGAGAGTATGACATCACCACATTCTAGAATCTGAAATCCAGCAATACCACCAATTTGTGTATTTTTTTCTGAGAGACATTGAATGGGCATAGATCCCGTAATTACAGAGATATTAACCATAAACCAGGTCAAATCATAACTTTTAGCACTTTGGACTGTCATGTCAGCTCGTAGCCAAATGAATCCAAGCTCAGCTGCTGTACCCGGCGAACTTTTGTAATTTACCGAGACAAAAATAGAAAACTACCAACCTCGTCACATGAAGTCGAGGCGAGGTCAAAGAGTAGGTTCTGTATCTAATCTCTTCTGTGCTTTTCTTGCTTTTGAGTTACTTTCGCATTTCAGCCCCAATACCAAAACACGACTCTGCAAAGGATTGTGGGACTGTCGGCTCCGCTTCCGTTCAAAGATTGAACACCAAAGGTCAACCACAAGAGAGTTATGTGCTACAAAAACATGCTATATATATTTACTATTTAGGGCAAATTCAACTTTCCATTCAATGAAAAATTATAAAATGATCTAGTAAAAACAAAGTATATGTTGACCAGATGGTCAAAAACGCATTTTATGACAGACGGACTTTAACAAACAAACATGGGCTGTTGTTTTTCTTTATTTTCCCCTTTCTTTTACTGAAAACCACAAAATGTTCTAACTTCATACAACATAATAACATAATGTCAGATTGAATGTAACATATTTGATCAAACATATTTAATAAAACATGAATTAAAAGTAATATTGTTATGTGGCTTCAGGAAACGCGCTGTAGCCACGCCTTTACTGGGCGGGGCATATTTACGTATAAGGACGCTGGGAGGGCTCTCGCCGATAAACAACTTTGAGATCAAAACAATCTGAGAGGAACTCAACATAGCGGAATACTTTGTGGTCTGCGACTGCACCCGAAGAAAAACATTCTCTCTCCTTTATTTTTGGTGAGTTGTGCAAATACACTTTCTATTCCATTATGTGCAAACAGAACGAGCCTCCTATCTTTCTTTGTCCTTTGTTCTCTCTAATCCTCTCAGCTGTCTGATATCTCCTACAGAAGCTTTTGTTTAAAATTTCTTGCATCTCTTCTTTTTTTCAACTCTGAATCTTTAAGAAAAAAATCGATTAGAAATTTAGATCGGATGGCAGTTGGTAAGGACTGAAGATTACATTGCAGTCAGAGATCGAAAAGAATATGCTTTCTGCAAAATATTGGTTAAAAAATCAACAGAAGTTCTATTTAGAAGAGATGTAGGTGAAGGAGCAGTTTGGGTAAGGGCAATGGGGTCTGTCTTTGCCTCCAGGGAGGGGCTTGATATTCTAGTCAGTAGACAGGCATCCGGGGAAAACACAACTCTATTTATGGATCTATTTTTGTCTACAAAAACAACACAATATGTCAGCTTTTTCCAATAATTTTGATTACACGTTTTCAGGCAGGTAAATATACTACTGGTGAAATGTATTGTGGACTTAAAAGTAAGATGTGTTTTGTATTTGACAATAGTGGAAAGTAACTATAAGTGGGCCTACTCGCGTTGTAATTGCAGTGGGTCGGTAGTGTTCTGGGGGTAATTGCACTTTTTTGAGTAGATTTATTTTTTAAAAATGTACTTATACTTGTAATCGAGTATAATTCTAGTTATATAACAGTAATTAGTTACATTTTAAATCATAGTTAGTTACTGAGTATCCAATCCATGTCTGTCTCTGCTCTTAAACACGCATCAAATAACTGAAGTTTTTTGAAAAAGTGTAATCTAAAATGCTTCCAAAAATTCTGTTAAAAGTAACTAGTAACTAGTACTCTGAGTAGTATTTTTCATGCGTTCTTGTAAGTACATTATTAGCTAAGTAACTGTACTTTTACTTGAGTACACATTTTCAGTCATTTACAACATTAGAAAGTGTGGTATTTTTAAACACTAGAAAGTGGACACATACCTAAGGAAGTGATGTAGTCCTGTATACCTTGTTTATATTGACTACAACCAGTTTCAAATGTGATTATATATCCTGTCAAAATCTAAGTTAGGTTAGTGACTCATCCTGTTTTGATGCTCACCTTTAATGCACTCTCCCTCCCTATTCCTTATGCATCTCTTTCTAGTAAGATACGCAGCCCACATAAATCCTAGGATTACCTAACTGTTCCTAAGGCAGTGTGAACTCAGGTTATTGGGTAACACTTTTGTTCCAGCTTGAAATGTTTTGAAGTGATTGAACGTTACTGCGTCACTGTGATGTAACAACCCCAAGTGTTCATGTAACTGGAACAGTGCAATGGAAGCAGATGACAGCTGGTGTCTGGGAGTAAACTGGGATCTGGGAAGCCACTAGAGGGAGCCATAAGAGCTGTACTGGATTACATAGTCACTAAACCCAAGAGTATTTGATACATAAATAATACTTTCAAATGAGTGCGCTAATATGCCAAAACAACGTAATTTCGTGATTTTAGAGCAAAGATCATGATTTTGATTTAATCACAACTGAAACAGTTTGTATCTTTACCTCCGCCAAGGAGGTTATGTTTTTTGGGGGTGATCTGGAAGAAATCCTGGATTCTGGATCACTTTGAAATTTTAGTTAACATTGTGGTAAATGGGGCCAAAAATTTTGTTTCTCGATATCTCGATTAATTATTGACCAAACCCCATGAAATTTGACTCAGGGATGGACAATGGGATCCTCTTTCACATTCCAAATTGAAAGATACGAGACAAATATTTATGGAAAACACAATTAATATGAGGGGGACTGTAGTCCTTGGCGGAGGTCTGTGCTCTCTGAGTGCTTTTCTAGTTATAGAGGTTATTAGTAACTAAGTCATCTACTGCATCTGAGATTTCACACTTAGTCATTAGTTATATCCACCTGACCAATAGGAATACTAGGTGGGGAAAAGTGTCCGTGTTTAAGTTTAGAGCTGCATTGACACTATAACAATATCACCAAATAGCATATAGCCACTGGGATCAGATTACAACTCGATTTTTATTAGCAGCCTTAGTGTTATACAATAGATGGACAGAATGAATAAGAATTATAAACTTAATAGAAAAAAATGTTAAATGGCTTATAAATTAGGCCAGACATAATTTTATCTTCTGAAATAGTAGTAAAGGATCTATAGCTATATATATTTTAAATGTATGTATTACAGAGCCAAGATGCTGGGAAAGATCCTCTCTCACCTCCTGGGCGGTGCTGTGGATGAGCTGGAGTCTGCAGAGGACACTGTGGAGGACCTGATGGAGTTTGAGGAAGGAGGATGGGTCATTGTCAATCTGCCAGGTGAGAGAAATATATGTACTAACAAAGTACTAAGAATACTTTAAAAAGACTTTGAAAGAACTAAGCCCTGACTTAATCTCAATATATCAGCTAACCAATATGCACTTTTTAGCATATCAGCTATTGGTCATATATCTTAGAGGGTACTGTATAGAATGTGACTACATCGTTCTCGCATATACTTTGTCGTTAATTTATATATATATATATATATATATATATTACAATGCATACTCACTCACTATCCACAACAGAGGATGGACAGCTGTCTGTACCAGAGGTGGACCCCCTGGAGAACCTGCTGATCGAGCACCCGAGCATGTCAGTCTACCAGATTAGACACCGGGTTAGTGGAGCCGAGGAGGAGGAGGCGGCCAGCTCTGAAGAGGAGGAAGAAGATTCGCCAAGGTTAATATGAACGCAATAACTCTACATTACATTCACTGGCAACATTTAAGCCTACTATAATATAAACATATACACTCAGACAAAATTGTCTTCTGTTTAAGAACTGTATATGGTTAGTATTATTATTCCAATGTGTTTTTGAGAGAGGGTAATAGTGAGCAATATCAACATAAATGAATACCTCAACATTCTTTTTTGATTACTTGAGGGTTAGGAATCAGACTAAAGTGAAATAACAATTAAATAACATTACAACATACATTTATTCAGATTATTATTTTAAATAATTATTATAAAATTATAATAATTATTATTATTATTGCATATCTACAAAAAGATGTATTAGGATTTGAAGATTAAGATTTTTTATTTAAATATCTGTCAACTGGATTTGTATCTGCTTCTACTCTAACAGGGTTTGTGATGACATCACAACACTGTAAGTGGCTTAGACAGAAATATTTGAAACTACACATTGTATAGTTAATCATTAGCCTCCATCTTATCTGATTAATTTAAAGATCTATGAGAAAAATTAATGATGAGAGCTTCACATGTCACAAATGAAAAACTGGAACCTTACTTTTTACTTACTTACAAGTATCAAAGGTAATGCATGTTTTGTAATATTGTCCATGTGTGTTGTTTCCAGGCCTGTAGCAGTGAGGCGGCACCTCTCATGGCGTCTGGCAGCCTGGGGGGTCCCTCTGCCCTGTAACCTCCAGCTCCTCAGTGTGCAGAGCGTGCAGAGGGACAAGACCCAGGGCGAGCGTAAGAAACTGAGCCGCAGCGCCCTCCACAGACAGAACATGGCTAAGACCCGGTTCTCTGCTGCTGAACGTCGCTATGGCCACTTCAAGCAGCCCTGCCAGCGCCTGTATAACTACTGAGGAGATGGAGAACAGTAGTGTGCAGGCTTGGCTTCAGTTATTCTTCAGTTATTTTAATGGCTCACTCAGGTTTCCATTGTGGTATATAGTTGAAAAAGCTACATACCTCTCACAAGTACTGTATTCAATGTAAGAGATTCCATCCCAATCCTGAGTGAAAATTAGGAATCTCTAATCAGGAATAACTGATTATATCCCCTGCTTCTGTTGTTGATTGATTGATATACTGTATGTGCAATTTAAGACATTACAGACACTGGCTATGTTTACATGCACACCAAAATTCCAATTTCAGATTTCTGGAGTCATCAGATTTGAAATGTCATGTAAACAAGTGAGTAATTAGATTTCTTTCTGATTGTTCAGAACAATTATGCAAAACAGGACAAACTAACGTGGCAAAGAAAGACAAAAATAAAGTAGAAAAGAGTAATGGCATTATTCTATAGTTATCTAATTTTTACTGGCCATGTAAATGTACCCAATGGCAGAAAACAATTTGATTTTCATAATGGTCATACGCCATAATTTACACACATTTGTACAATATTTAAAGATTTTACATTTTTGAAACCCGGACCCTAGTCATATTTTATCTTGAATTTGCTTTTATCTTTATTTTATATTTTTAATCTGCTGAACTATTTTCATATTGGTTGTATACAAAGCCAGCCTGCACTGAAGCCCTGCTATGAAAACCTTACGTGAACACTGATATTTGATTTACACCCAATACCATTTGCTCTATAGGACTATTATTATTAATATTATGATACATTAGGAACTGTTGAGTAGATTATTTAGGTTAAGTTGTAGAATTAGATTTATTTGTGGAAGATATTTGTGTGATATTGTTACTGTGTGAAAAACAATGAAAAAATGTTTGTACTTTTTGGTGAGCGGTGTGCTTTGAAATGATGTGCCTTAGCTTTAGAAACAAAAACAAAAAACTGAATGTTATGCCTCAAGAACTTGTACAGCTTTTTGCTAATGTTAATTATGTGAAATTTTGACCACACCAGTGACTTTTATTTACAGTGTTTTATCATAGGGAATTATAATAAACCAGATTTCTTTACTTTCTACTATTTTATACAACTACACATATTTCATGTTACAGAACATTCATTTTGTGTGTAAATAATGTTTAAAGTGGTGCTTTTTCTATGTGACTATTTATAAAATGTACAAAAAAAATTATAATAAATATTGTTTTGATATAAAAATGAAATGAGCGTGGAGCAACAAGCATTTTTAAAACACTGTAATTCCTAGTTTCTACTTTCCTACACTTATAAAAAAAACTGTAAAACTTTCTCATTTTAGTAAGAAAATCTATTTTATTTCATGGCTGCATTACAACAATTTTTACAATTATAATGAATCCTAATGTAGATTAGTTTTGTCCCAAGTTTAGTCCCAGTTAGGTAACAATTTGGATGTTACATGAGTGAGTTATTGACTTTTATATGTGGTTAAAAATATACTGACATTTCTGTGTTAACACTTTACATTATACATCACTATATAGTACAAATTACGGATAAAAGGAAAAAGGCTTAATGTAAATACTCATAATTCATGCCACAATATTGTTTTACTTTTTTTGTTAAAAGCACTCTATGTAACTTGACTCACAATGTCAATCAGTCCACCACATGCATCACAATGTTATCGCTTTGCTTTTATTTGCCTAGAAATACTTCTCAGTATGATTGTCATTACCCAATTTGGGACCCGGTCTGATTTGTCACCTTTGTAATTTACCGGGTTTAAAGCTTTTAAACGTGCTTTTTATGTGTACTGTTCTGTCTGCCATACATATTGCTAAGCTCAAATGTATTCATATCAAAGGTTCATTCCTAGAAATAGTACAACAGCGAACTTGGATAATTGTGGTCAAATGTGATCATTTCTGTTTCTAACAGTCAGACTCAACTCCTCCCTGCTCTGTTTTGTAATGTTTATTAATGGTTTAAATACATTATTTTCACAGACTTTGAACAAATATTTATCAGTAAAACAGTTCATACAAAGTAAATTTGACTGAACAAATGTCAAAAATGAGATTGTCCAAAGTACTGTTACTTTTGTTATTGTTACTGTAAGCAGGCTTACCTCTCCACAGATCTGAACTGTAACTTAATGAGCTTACCTTAGAGATCCCCATCTCCATGTAAACAAGCAGGTAAGAACAAAGTTAGTTCTGATATTTTATGTTAGGCCTGAATCAGTTCTCATTGTCTGAGTTGTTGCACTTTCTTCATAAACTTCTTCACCCTCTCTGCATCTACTACATTGGCCCAGTGTCCATCCTTCTTAAAATGTGAACCTATGATCATCGCATTTGCCTCCATGTAATCTTCCACATTTTCATATGTGACTCCAGAACCAATCAGAACGGGTATCTTCACAGATTCAGAAACCTCTGCAAAACACAGAAAAATGCACTTTTAACCTTAAAGTGAATATGACTTTTTTCTAATTATGACTTGGTTTGATGGGGTTGTACCTGGGATAAACATTTAGCATAGTTTTACATCAGTTAAGTGGCAGCTAAAAAAAATAAAAATAAAATAGGAAGTAGTGATGGGTTCTAAAATGAGGCATCTTAACATGTCATTAACACCAAAAATTCCATCCAAAGTGCAGATTATTTACTCACAAGGAAGAAATTTTTCTGTCAGATTAAACATTGATTTAACAAAATAAAGATGTTGGCCTCTATTTTATTTGTCTAAAGTAAAAAAATAAAAATGAAAATCAGTTAATAATCAATATTTAAGATAGGATCAAAACTACATACTCATTTGAACTGAAATCAATACTGAAAAATCATATATGGACCGCTATGGACTCTACCTGGATGACTAAGCGACAACAGTAGCCTAATTGAATTACTGAGCAATTTCGACACATTTTGGCACATTATGGTTGCTAGCTAAAATGTTTTTAATGTGAAGTGCACTTTAATTCATTTACACATTTAAAGCCAACCAGCAAGATTTTACTTTAAAAACAGCAACAACAACAAAAAACAAATAGTGATGATGATTCAGCAGTGGCCATGGCGTGTCAGAATGCACCCTGTGAACTCTAGCCAAAGTTGAGTGTGTGTCCTGCTGGTATGTGCACTGTGGTATCACTAGCATACAGTACATGGTGGAGTTTAAACAGATAGGGGCCAAGCACGTGTGGGGCAGTCTGTTTACAGTGGGCTGAGCTGTGCTGGAGACCTAAAAATAGAAAGAGAGAGTGCTGCTAAGGCGGGTGACAGTTCAGAGGTTCAACACAGGAAAAACAAAAGTATTTACTCACTTCTCCCTGGTGCGGTGGGTGCATTTGACACTAGACTAGTCCTATCACAAAAACATAGTTAACATCATTGTGTTTAAGGTTTAAATTTTAGTTTTTTTCTGGTGATGTTTACAATTTTATTTCCCAGTTGGACATGGGCAGCAGGTATGACATGTAGAGGTAATTTCATTACTGCAATCTAGTAAACATAAAGTTAACATTAGGGATGCACCGATCCGATGGTGGGATCGGATATCGGTGCCGATACTGGAAAATTTGCTGGATCAGATATCAGCTTCCATTGGTTCAGTCGATATCCTCATTTGACATATAAATTGATGCAATAAGACTTTGTGGTCATAATTGTCCCAAAACATCTCATATTTGAGCTTTTATTGATACATAGTTGTTCTGTAGTCGCTTCAGAGATAAATAGCATCTACATAACACATTTGGATCAGTTATGTCTCATTTTAGTTTTGTTTAAAGAAAATAAATAAATGCATCCCTAGTTAACAAGGCCAGAAGATGTCTAAATTACACAATAGTTATGTTTATACAGATAAAAATAAATTATAACACCTTTATTTTGTTAAATAAAGAATGGAAAATGCCTTCCTTGTCCATAAATCGTCACAGCATTTTTGATGGAGTTTCCATGTTGATTAAGTATTCTGTTTTAGAACTCACCGCTATTTCCTGTTTTGTTTTTTGCTTTTTTTATCCTTCTCAACATATTTTTCCCCACATGGCCACATACCTGATGTAAAAATATGATAAATATTTACCACAAATACTATCCCTCAAAATCAACACAATGGTTTATTGGTAAAGAATTTTGCTGTAGAAAATAATGAAGCTACTGTTGCCGTTAATGTACAGTGCATTAATTGTTCTATCATGAAATGTATAGTCAGCAGCTCTGTTTCCATGCACAACAAAAGACTTATCATCTGACTTCTGGAGTTATCAGATTATTCAAATGTCATGTCAACATTTACATCTGATATGAGTATTCTGATTTATTTTTCTCTGTTCAAACTAAAAAAAATGTCAGAGTTACAGTATGTGACTTTCTGGAGGTCACTTATATGATTCACTAGAAATAGACAGTTAAAACCATATTGTGGATCATTGTCCATGGAGATAGATCAGTTTTATGTCATACTGTGGAATATTATAGCCAGGGTCAGGATTGTGGAGATACAAGCACAGTCACAGCACAATAAACAAACCAAAATGTGAAACATCCTTATATTTTAGTCTATATTTTGGCTAAACAATTACATATTGTGGCTTTAAAGATTGAAAGAGTTAAAATTCTTGACTAATTAACACACATGTCACTAGGCCTGTCACAATGATTACAATATTGACGTATATTCAGTACATGAAGGCTGAAACCATATATTTTGGGGCACAGTATTTATTTAGAATAATGAACTTTTATGGCCAATTACTGGTTAATTCTGCTATTTATTTGATACAGTTCAGCCTTTTAATGATGCACTATATTTAAAAATAGGTTGTGTCAGTGGCATAAAGTCACAGTTCCAATATTATCATCTGCAGCAATATATCATGCTTAAAAATGTGTAATCGTAACAGGCCTACATGTGCTGTTAATCGTAGTTATCTGATTATTGTAATTTGCTGATTTTTAACCATGTAAATGTACTAATTGATTGAAATGTTATTATGCTTATTATTTATGAATAACAACATCATAATTATTGATACTAAATCTGGCTTTTTAGAATGTCTTGTGCAAGAATTAATTAAGCTTAATGTTTTGATCTTTAAAATAACAGGTTGTAGTTGTCCATGAAGACACTATATTATAGCAGCCATTCCTTTACTTGTGTGAAATTTGATTAAAGAAGTCTTTGATCACTTAATATTTATCCTCTTAACTGCTTTGCATTGTAATTTGATCATCACCCCATTTTAATAATAATGCAGTGATGATAAAAATTCAAATTAGGCATATATGAGTTTATATCAACTTCAAAAAAAACTTAGCCATAGGACAAGCAAGAGCTACATAGAACAGCCTATGATGTACTATACTTTCATGGCGCTAACTCCAAAAACTTAGCTGATCATACCAAAGTGATTATTGACAGTTATTAATGCAGTAACACTGACATCTGCTGGTCAAACATTAAAGTGCAATGGGTAAAAGTTTCTTGCTTTGAATTTTTCCCAGATTTTCTGTATAAATTATGTCCTTCAAAAGGCATATAAATATATATTTTTTCTTATTGGTCACGATTTTTATTCAATTAAACTTTGTCAGATTACAACAAATAAACACGCCTTCAACCAATTTACATTTCTTGAACAGAAACAATACACACTTTTAATTACTTTTTTAACAAAAGAGAATGGTCAGATTTCTTCCTCCAAAATTTTAACTCCAAACCGCATACTTTTACTGACTAAAGATTAATTGTAGACCTGTTGACAATAAAGGCCCAAGCTGATCATTGAAACTGACTATTAAAAAAGATTGAAATTAATTACTAGCAGTGCCTTAGTTCTAAAACGTTATAGGTGTGATTGTTTGCAGTACCTCTGAGCTGTTGTGGGTCTGCCTGCACTCCAGTGGCACTTCCTGTGATGATGAGACCGTCTGCCTGAAAGAACTCTGCAGCGCGAGCTGTTTCTGCAATGCTCACATCTGAGGTCAAAGCATGTGAACTGTAGAAAAGAAATCATTTAATAATTAAACTGAATTAAACTGTATTAAATACATTTTTATTTATTAAATTGTCATTCTGTCTCATAGTATATATGATGACACCAATTTGTGGGTTTAACTTTCTGTTTATAAGCTACATTTTAGAACTTTTCAGATATTTTGTTTTGACTTACTAATTGATATTAGGGCTGTTGTTGACAAAAGAAATTTGATTAAAGACATGCTCTACTGATCAGTTAGTAAACTAAAAAGGGGGAAGTGAAAAAGCTTTAAAAACTAAGTATCTGACAATCTATCTGACCCAAACTGCTCTTGTAAAACCATGTGTGCAGAAATGTACAAGGAAACATTGTATATATAAAATTTAACTCATGTTTTACTCCCAAATCTTCAGCTAACTCACTCCATGTCTTCTCTTTTGAATTAACATTTTAATAGGCAAAATAATATATATTTTGGTTGACTAAGACACCATCAAGTGATTAATCAACTAAACAACTAAAGGACTACAGCCCTAATTGCTACAGCATCTGTGCTGATTTTTCATCACTCTGAAACCCTTAGATAATTTGGATTTCATGTAACACCATTACATTCTGGAATGCCAATAAATTTGCTGTAGGGCAGGTCTGAATTTTCCTTTCAATTGTCAAAACGGAGCTGTTTTGTTCTGGTTTATTGTTAATTGTCCACTATAAATATGACAGGATTTTGTGAGTATTATAGTATATTATATATTAGTGCCTTTGTGTAAACCTTACCTGTGTTTCTTTTTGATGTCTGTAAAAACATGCACATGCTCTGCTCCGATGTGCTTACGGTATCTGAGTAACTCTCCAGCACATGCATTCAACAGGCCCTCATCAGCCACATGAGAGAAGACAAAGCCCTCAGCTCTGATGAAGTTAAGATCTATGACCATTTCAAAACAAAATATAGGTTATGTAATGTTTTGTCATTGATCAGTCATGATTATTGAAGGCTTATGTGAAGTATTGAATAGCAGTGCCGTTAGCCACCAAAAGCCTGGAAAATGACCTTTGAATAGAAAACTGGCAGTTACTTATTCACTCATTCCATTCAACTGCTGATAATAAAATTAAACGGAAAAAGGTGAGCTTCCCATCCAAATGAGTCAGAGCTAGTAGGTAAGCTAGTTAAAATGTAAACTATTTATTCTTCTAATAATAATGCCTATTGATAATTAGGTCTGTAAAATATATATGTATGATTTCCATAAAAGGTTTCCCAAGTAAATAACTATGTACTGTAGTGACCACAAGGAAAACACTGAGTTAAGTGCAAATTCAATATGTTAACTAAAGCAATCCATTTTCAAAGTCTCCTGGGTTAGCTGGCTCCAGAGTCCTGAGTCCTGCTTTAAATGTCCCTTTAAAGTAAGGAAACCTAAGTGAATTAAAAAAATCAAGGGCTTAAAGGAAGCCTCCTGATGTCCATACCTGAGGCCAAAGCGACAGCCAGGGCCTGGTGGTTAGCAGAGGACAAGATTTGGACCCCCAGAGGCAGAGATGGACACTGGCCCCTCACAGCAGAGCAGACAGCGGTCATACATGCACACACCTCTGGGCCCACACTGAATGTGTACGGGATGTCATGCATGTTCTCAATAATCAGACCGTCCTGGAAGAAAAGGCACATAGCACAAGTATAAGTGAACACCCACTCTCTCCATTGAGGATGAACCTACTGTACTTACCACTCCTGCATCACTGTAGATTTCAGCCTCTCTACAAGCCACCTCTGCAATTTCAGACATTTTCATGGAAGAAAGCGGTGTTCCTATAAAACAAACAAACTTATTTAGCTTATCATCATACAGTGTTAATGCATTTTCATAGGCTGTGTTACCTGGTAAGGCTTTTACATGAACCATGCCAATAACCACAGAATTGAGGCGACCAAACAGATTTAGAAATTTCATGATTTCTCTAAGCAGAAGCAATTTGGGAGAAGCAGACAAATCCGCATTTGAGTTTGTTCAACTAAACGTGGACATCACGTGACTGACCAAGGGTCAGTTTGCTCCTTTTTAAAAGAAATGGTACTAGGCCTTATCAAAAGAAATGAGGGAATAAATATATTATTAATTTTGAGTTAGCATAAGTTAAACATAATATGATCTGAGTATTTGTTTAGTCAGGGTTTTGTCGGCATCAGGTCGTGATGTTGTAAAGGAGGATAGGGCCAAACATGGCAACCCCCATTAGAAAAGAGCGCCTCGGCAAACACAAGAGAAAGCTAACGTGTTTTTAAGTGAATAAATAAGTGCGGCTACTGTGACAGCCGCTGAACACGTTCTCCACACATTGAAGTACATGTACGCTTAGCAAGTGTTGATGAATTTAGTCGAAAGAAGCTTTATTTCAGTTTTAAACAGCGTGACTTTCCCTTTGTTTACATCTGACACACTAGCCACGCGGTTGTTCGGGCACTTCCTCTTCGGAAGCCCCGCCCCGACAGCTGTCACTGCTGGGGCCACACCTCCCATATACCGGCAAATGTATAAACTCCACTTTTTCTCTTCTTTATTACACTTTCTACCGAATATATTGATTATATCTGTTGTAGTGACTGTATATCTTCATGCACGGGTCCTTAAATGCTTAAACCGGCGCGTTATACTGAACTGAAGTCCGTGATTTAGCGCCAAGTGAAATCACCTCCTCCCTGACGTTGATGCTTCGGGTCATCTGTTTCCTACAAGGCGCCCGCTCAGAGGAACTAGCTCCCCGGCCTCACCGCACACACAGAGCGACTCATCCAGCCCGAACCACCGCTGCTAAAGTTTGCAGACAACGACGACACGCATATTTACTTTGCCATCGTGGAGAACAAGAGTGAACTTCAAGAACAGAAGCTTGAGGTAAGCTTCCGTAACTTTGTCGCGGGTTAGCATAGGCGCCACTGAGAGCGTTGCAACAAGTGTGGTGAATGAAAAAATTACAATCCTCCAAAAATCAAGAGAGAAGTGGATGCATACACAGGTTTAATCTTAAGTAAAGTGTCAATCAGCTCGTTTTTTGCTGGTAATTCTGTTGTTAAAGGGTGGCGTCCCAGCTGCACCGGGTTCGGCCATTATCTGGGAGGCAAGCCAGCTGTCCAAAGTTAACCAAGGAAATAGTCAAGTTCTATGTACAAATATACCAATCTGGCAAGCTTTGTGTGTTATATAGACCCTGATGTCTGTTCTCAGTCTGCTATCTTGGCCATCCGCTCTCATTTGGTGAACTTTTGCTGAGTTGAAACATCGCGTACCATTTCCATTTCCCCGCGCCCGGGCTGAGATGGGCTTTGTCAGAAGGAGGGAGTTGAGAGTGGGGGTTGGGACTTGCTCAATCTGTTGTTAAAGCCTTAAAATAAAGCTAAAAATCGTGTTTATCCCACAGGTTTACTCCAACACAGACGGACAAGCTCGTGTATAATGCTAGGAAATCGGTGAGTTGAATGTTTAAAACCAATCACTTTGTCAAATGTCAATCACAGTGCGGAAAAAGTTTGTGTGGATGCAGCCCCAGCCATTCAGCTAGTTAGCTTGGTGCTATGGTACTTTTGAGTAAAAAATACCACACGACACTCGCTGATTGTCAGTACATGTGTTTATTTGTGTTCATGAATTCTTCTTTTGTTCTAGGGAAGAGACAGAACCGAAATCTGTTCCTCCCGAGGTGTCCAAAGAAGCAACAGTGCGAACGCGAAAGAGGAAGGCAGATGTTGCCATTGTAAGTAGCCCCAAAGGCGTCACATTGGCCCACTCTAGACGCAACCTCATTAAAACTTCATTTATGTGTGGTATACAGTAGTCTATTGTGAAGTTCTGTTTTAGTTGTTGTAGTAGTTGTAGAGTGAGCAGGTTGGGGCAGCTATCAGACGTCTACTCATTGACAGTTGTGTTTGGGGAATTAAATCAGGGCACACAAAGAGATGGATTATAGACGGAGGATGTCTTTTGTCCCTCCTTAAACAAACTGTCAAATGATGATTATATTTCTTGTGTGATTTCCAGTTTTTACATGACATTGATGATGAGGTAGCAGAGATGACAAAGAAGAAGTACCGTGACTGTGAGGTAGGTTTGGTCAGATCTTGAGTTAGGGTTTAATGATTTGGGAAATATCGTAATTGTGATTGGATTTGAGATGTTTATAATAATGGAATTCTGTTCAGTGTTCACATTTTAAAGTCCTCTTAAGGAATCGGCAAAAAGAGTGAAATATGAACTGACAAACAAGAATCCCGTTTCGGAACATGTTTGTACAGATCTAAACTACAGGGTTAGCAGTTTTCATGCAGAATAAGGGAGGATATTTAGTAGTTTGTAGCGGAAATTACGGCACTTCAAACATTGCAGCCTTTGCAATTTGTTAATTGAGCTCATTCAAATTTAGATTAGAATCTGATTAATCTTGCAGCCCTATCTTGAGTATTATACTTACAATAAGCATCTTCTCATGTGTTAACCTTTTTGGTGTCTTCAGAGTTGGAGCCCTGATGCTGGCTACACCAGTCCCCAGCGGTGGATCCCCACACCTGACCATGAGGACGGTCAGCCAGTCAGCCTGATAAATGCGGGTTTCCCCCACTACAGCTTTAACAACATACTGGCAACCCCAGTGCATTGTGCCCCGCTCCCTGCTTTGTGGTGAGTATTGTTGTAGTTGTCTTTGATGTTGCTGAGCTGCCTTTCACTTAAAGCATTTGAATGAGCCATTTGTACTTAATTTTGACCTGTTGTGCTCTTCCTGTACCTAGTTGGGCGAGTAAAGATGTGGTTTGGAGCAACATGCTGGCCAAGGACAAGACCTACACAAGAGATGTCAAAGTGATGGACAAACACCCACACCTGCAACCCAAGATGAGGGCCATTCTATTAGACTGGCTCATGGAGGTTTGTAACTTTAGATACAATTTTAAATGGATAAATAAAGCAATTCAATTTTAAACTTTAAGAATTTTAGGCGTTGCATTATGCCTAAAATTATTAAAGTTTAAACTTGATTTCATTACAACACACATTTTTTAATTTCCGAGATATGAGATGATCAGGTAGGATCCCTATTTTGGAGCAACACATTTTCTTTACCTGACTGACATTTAGTGGTTTTGTTTTTCCGCTGTAGGTGAGTGAAGTATACAAACTCCACCGGGAGACGTATCATCTGGCTCAGGACTACTTTGACCGTTTCATGGCCACACAGAGAAATGTCTTTAAATCAACGCTACAGCTCATAGGCATATCCTGCCTGTTTATTGCAGCTAAAGTCGAGGTAAGCACATGGAGGCACTGAAATGTGAAGTTATCTACATGACCCATCAGTTTGAGAGTAGTAGCAGAATCCAAAGCATCAGACCTCTACTTCTAACCAAATAATAAAGTCAGCAGAATTCATAACATAACATCTGCCCAACTGATATCCCATTTCCTGTTTTCCTTTTCACAATTGAATACATTTTGCATGTGAGACATATGACATAGGTATCCGCCACCGTCTGCATCTCAATGACCTTAATGTATTTTCTCATCTGTCCACAGGAAATGTACCCTCCCAAACTGCACCAGTTTGCTTATGTCACAGATGAAGCCTGCACAGAGGATGAGATTCTCAGTATGGAAATAATCATTATGAAGGTGAATAATCTTATCGTGCAATGTTTCCCAACCAGGGCAACAAGGACAACTGAGAGACACAAGCACAGTTATTTTAAAAATTATTAAATAAACTCTTGCACTTGTAATGTGCTTTACACACTTGTGAAACCCTCTCAAAGTGCTTAACTATAGTCATTATTTATTCATTCTGTAGTCTGGTGGTAAGCTACAGTTGTAGCCACAGCTGCCCTGGGGCAGACTTATGGAAATTAAGCTGCCAATCTGTAGTAGTTGGCGGGGGCTGATGGCACAATCATTCCCTTACACATATTCATAAAAGTATTGTGGGTGAAGTTGTGTCCTTAGGCAAGACACAAATTTTGCCAACAGCATACCATTATGGCACCTAGTATTCTCAGTGGTCTCCCCTTCAAATACTAACCAGACCCAGGCCTGCTTAGCTTCTAGTCCATTTATCTAAAGGTGCACTATGCAACTTTTCTGCTGGTTTCCATGGACATGCCTTGCCTGATGTTTTCCAGTATGATATTAAACATACACTACTTTACTCCAATGTTTTATACAATAAAGCACAAACTTGTGCAAATAGACTTTAACAAACAAATTAGCACATGGTCTTAAAGTGGTACACCTGTACTGATATGTCTTGTGTGTGGATAGGAGCTGAACTGGAGCCTCAGCCCTCAGACGCCCATCTCCTGGCTCAATGTTTACATGCAGGTGGCCTTCCTCAAGGAGACCGACGAGCTGCTCATCCCCAGATACCCCCAAGCTACCTTCACACAGATTGCTGAGGTGTGTTCTACTGGCACGCACATACATGACCCAACTGTACTCAAGTATTTTCTGTTAGAAAGAAGAATTTGGCATATTGTGTAATGCTACATGTAATATTTGTGTTGAGGTAGTCATTTTGAGGCTGTATGTTGCTAGGAGAAAAAAAATAACTGTGGTAATGTTTTCCAGCTGTTGGATTTGTGCATGCTAGATGTCCGTTGTCTGGAGTTTTCCAATGGAGTCCTAGCTGCCTCAGCTCTGTTTCACTTCTCCTCTCTTGAACTAGTGGAAAATGTCTCAGGTAAGGAACCATTTGTTTATTGTATATTTCAAATTCTGATTGTTCTAGGTTATTAAAGGTGTACAATGTAACTTTTCTGACAAGCCCGCTCACTTGTCTCCATTTATGTATTATTGCTTAGCATTGAATGTTAACCAGTATGGCATTATACAAATGTATGTTTAATTTATTTCTGTACGGGTGTTTTTATTGTTCAAGCATACTTTCAAAAATACTCAAGGTTGCCTCTCCACAGATGCAACCTGTAACTATTATCCGCAGAGATGTTTTAATCCCATACGTTGGAGCATTCCAAGCATTCCAAGCAAAGCATTAACGACAAGCACAAAAAAGTTACAATTTGTGTGTTTTGCAATTATGAGTCAGTTTTAATATTTTATTTCCCCATGTTTCCTGTAGCTTTGAAAGGATCTGAGGTTGAAGAGTGCGTGCGGTGGATGGTGCCTTTTGCCATGGCGCTCAGGGAAAACGGTGGCAGACCAATGAAAACGTTCGCAGGCATTTCAGCTGATGACATGCACAACATCCAGACACACACTGCCTACCTGACATGGCTGGTGAGTTCTAGATACAGTTATGAAAACAAACAAGTCCAAACCAAAAATTCACTTTGTAAGCCCACCCCCTACTCTATAAAAGTACAAAAAAAGTATAATCACATACTCTTATTTAGTCACAGTTGTCTTGAGAGGCTTTGAAGTAGGCTTGTCAAAAGTATCAAAAAACACATACTAATGGATATTAAATTGGGGCTACATATCAAGTCTATTCCTTATTATCAAAATTGTTTTAGTCTGCAGAAGTGGCCTTGTACATAAACTAGCTGAAATGTCATGGCATGTCAACACTTGTATACAAAATTCTTGTTGAACAAATTTTATGAACACTTCCACATTCCTAGCAAGTTGGGTGAAGTTGATCGCCCACCATGATGCATTAAGTAATGTCTTGAGCACTTGTTGGTAAGTGTTTATCTACTGTTGTATTCATTTGCATTAGCAAGACTAATTCACATTATAAAGTCTAACTTAAGCACAGGCAGCTATGGAGCTGTTGTTGCCACCCCATGCATTGTCATGTTAACTGCCTATGGTCATTGTATAGGCAATGTATTCGCTCAGGTCTTTCTAGTCACAGTGGTTCACAAGCCATTACACAGACCAAACCCTAAAATATGAATTACATTTTCCCCCCTTTTTATAATTATCAAGTTTTTTGATAACATTTTACCCTTTTTACCAGTGCAAATTAACACAAATTGACACAAAAAACACAAATCTTTACCTACAATCTGAACACTGCTCCAAACCATTTACTGATAGATGATTGGCAGTCAAAGAACCTCACACAGCCCCACCTTTTAGATTAGGGAAGTTGACCGAGTAAGTAGTGGGGGAAAATCCATTAAAAGCCCTGATTTTGAGAATACATATGTAATATATTTCCAGTCAAATAAAGTGATAAATAACCATATTTGTGTTTTCTTTCCAGGACAAAGCTTACTCATACCAGGACACAGAGCTGCAGCATCATGGGAGCTGTTCTGTGCCTTCTGGGGTACTGACTCCACCTATGAGCAGTGAGAAGAGTGAGGATCAGAGCCGAGTAGAGCCTGCCGTGCTCAAAGTCATACCCAGAATGCACACAGTGTCCCCACACCGTCAACACGTCTGACAGGCAAAGAACTGAACTATGAGCAGCGAGGAGCAAAAACTTCTGTCACTGCTGTTAGACCCAGAACTCATCAGGACCGAGCAGAGTTTTATTTTTTTAAGTTCCGATTTTTCAGGACCAGTCTATTGCTGGGAGGAGCTGGTGCAGACATGCATAACCCTGTAGTTCACATTCAAGAGGAACTGTTTGCTTCGGCGTGGGTGACAAATGGTGGATTTTTCCTTTTTTTTTTATCAGCAATGCACACAAAATGCTTTCCAACCAACCACATCGCCTGAAGTGGTTGTGTGCTTTTATTTCCTCTGCAGAAGCCAAATGGAAAGGACATTTTATGGACTCTTTTATGAACTTGGATGTTTGTGATTAAATGAATGGTGTTTTACTTTCCTTAGCTCAAACGGCCCATCGACTATTCTAGAGCCACACTTGGCTCTATTTGCTGCTATAAAAGTGGGCTTTGCTAATGGAGGAGTGGTGAATGGCTGCATGTGTGTGAATATGAAATAATCTTTTTTTTTTTTTTTTTTTTTAGGAAATTACTTTTGTCAATTTTTAGACAAAACATGGCCATGCTTTGCTTGGGGATTAGTAGCTTGGCTACTTGACTTAAACAAGTAAACTAGCCAGGCTTAAGAAGCTACAATGATTGTATTTAACTTTATTTTTTATCACAACCCACAGTTTTTCTTCACTTCCAAAATGTAAATTTTTATTTGACATTATATAATAAAATTTTGCTGCTACATATTTTCAATAAAATTGTTTGCAGACTTGTCAATTTATGCAATATTGTCACTTTTATATAGTATACACAATGGATTATAATGACAGTGTGCAGTTGTGGGTGCTGGGATCCAAACACCAACCTGTGGGCTTGTGGATCTGGCTGCTTTTCCAACTTCCTATCTTAAGTGTGGAACCATGGCTGAAAACATGCATACACATGTAAGATAAGTGATTACTGGAAACTCTTAATGTGAATACATAATAGATCTTAATCAGTTGGACCACATTATGACTACTGCTTTATGTTAAAATTCTAATCTGTATTAAATATGAAGTGTAATGTAAACTTGTTTCAGCTCTGAATAAGTGTTGCCTACATAATTTAGTCCACTAGATGTCAGTGTGACACTACCATTAGAAAGGAACCCAACTGCCCAAAGAAGGCTCCAAATTTAGTTCATTTAGTTTCTTGCATAGAACCACTTTATTTTTACCATTAATGATTACTGCAACAACAAAAGATCTAAAATAATGAATGGGGCAAATCTTGTATTAAAAAACATCAAAAACACTATATTAACCAAAATGTTAGCTAATCCAAATTGCCATCCTCCAATTTTGAAGTCAAGGCATCCAGGGTGAAGTATTGAAAATGTGTACTCAAGTGAAAGTATTGCAGATAGTATGCAAGATTTGAATTTTAGTAGCGTTGTAGATACAAATCCTGATACGAATCCTAATTAAGCAGTTTAAAGCTGAAATAAGTTGTTGCCAATCAGAGGTATACAATGCTGTAATTTGTGTTTGTAAGTATATAAACTAGAAGGGAGTAGAGCATATCAGGATTTAAGCTGTACTCATTATTTTTGTAGTTAATTATAATTTTACATGGCTAGAATTATACTCGGTTAAGTACTGGTTTAAAAATACACAAAAAATTTACTATTACCAAGAATCCTACCCAGTTACTGTAACATGACTATCTGCAATTAGTGACTTCCCACCCCAGCGCAGCACCAAGTTCAGACTGTATTGATACTGAGATGCATACACTGAGCCACACAGACTGTAGCCCACCACCGCGATACAACTGGTCCTATCACACACGCTTGTACAGCTCTGTAGAGAGTTTTATGTGTGTTAAAAGTGTTGTTTTCTCCGACTCACTGCAGTTTCAAACCAGGCCAGACCTCCCCATGGGCCCTGCCACCATCCCATGTAAACAAGTGTATATTAGCAGCCACTTTGATGTCACAATCTGACTTAGTTTCTCTTACTGTTCAATATTTTATACATTTAGACTTGCATATTCAATATAAACAGTCATTTCCCACAATAGCATTACTGGCTTGTTCAGGCGAAACTGCAATTTGAATGGTGGCAATGAACAAGTCTAAAATTTTGGTGGGTATTTAGGGGATGTAATAAAAAATATTCTTTATTTTAGAATCTTTTCATTCCAACATTATAAAAAGAAGTGATTCACAGTGCAGTTGAAATGCCATTCAGTACCCAATACAAAATATGCAGTTAAGTAATGAAGATGAAGACTCAGTTAGAGTTCAGATGATTAAAGCCCCACTGTCCCACATCATTTGGGATGTTTTGCACTGCACTGAAAAAAAAAAAAATCATGCTTCCCTGCTGTGACTTAACTTGCTAGTATAGTTTTGATGTAAAAACAAATAAAACCATTTTTCTCTTCTTATTATGTATTTGCTAACCATATAGGTCAAACCAGGGAAGCTCTGATTCGGCTCGGATACTGATTCTGATACTATGGCTTTAAGTATCTAAGTATCTGATCATCATTATCAACCGATTCTTGAGCAGGGTCTAAAAATAGACTTTATTTTCCTGTTTTTGCTCATATTTATCACTCAAGAACAACTTTGTGTAGAAGCTAAAACATTCTGAAATTTTCTGAACCAACTACAACCAATAAACCTGCATCATTTTATTACATCTATTTATATGCACAAGCAGGATATCAGCAAAACCAATATTCTGGAGTCAGTACCCAAATCAGCAAATGTTCATGGATTGGCATAGATATTTGATACCAGTATCTGTATTGGTGCATCCCTAGTTCAGACTAAAGATATCTGGACTTTTAGCGCATCAGGTATCAGCCTTAAATCTCCAGCATAGCTTCCATTTTGTTTTGGTCTATCTGTTGCCTAAAAATGCACACACAGTTTTGATAGTAACTTTAAAAAGCTGCACGAAACATGGCTACACAGCTCTCTTATACGTCTGTGGTGAAAAAGCACTTGGGGGAGTTTGCAGTAAATTTAACCTACATATCTAGGGAAAGTATCAAAATCCATCCCTCACATATTAGCCTAAAAATATCGGCAGAGCTTTTTGCCATCTGTTGCTCTGTATTCTAAACAATTGGCCATGACAAAAAACATATGGGTCCATCTCTAGTTAACGCTACAACTAGTATGTTCTGAGGTGGATGTGGACAATTGTAATATTCATCAGAAACAATCTGGCTATTTTCCAAACTGAAACTGGCTCAGCCCTTTAGCCTGCACAACACTATAGCCACGGAGTATGCAAAACCATGGCCTGGTCCAGACAGTGTGATTGCATGTTGATTAATTTGAGCTGCAGAATGGACAGTTATTGTTCAGGGCCGCGCCGGGTCACTAAAGGGCCCTTATATTGCCAGAAGCATGTCAGAAAGCTTGGGGGCCCATAACGCACACGCTGCTCTTTCAGTCATGCTGCGTTAAATGTGGGTCTGCCTCCCCCTTGTGGCTACTTTAATTTAATACAGGGGCACTTGATGGACCAACCACAGTCTCCCTCCTGTCTCTTTGCAGAACAATGAGGAAGACTGATATGTGAATGCATAGGAAATATTCAGCGGAAGGCAGGTTTGCTAGTCGGTTTTGCTAATAACACGGTTTCTAATTGTGCTGTAGTAAGTCAGCTAATCATTTACTAGATCATTTAGTACCTCACTTAATAAAGGTGAACTGAGTAACTTTTCTAATGAGTGGTCTGTTTCCATTGAGATGTTAATCATTTGCCTGGAATGTTTAACAGTACACCATTAAACACATATCTGTCTTGCATTTATTCATGTGTCTTTATTGCATTACATTGAAAAACATATGTTCTTACTGTAAGCGGGGTCACCAGTACCAGTACTCTGACCGTGTGAGTTCACATGCTTGGCTCCAGGCCATTCCAGGCTAAGCAATGACATACCATGACAATCATGTGGCAGACCCTTCTCCAGAAAAGTTGCATAGTAAACCTTTAAACATGCTAAACTAATGCAAGTCAGACACAGTACTTGTCTTGTCTTTAATGAATCTCATCATGATTTCATTTTAAAAGTATTGTACAAAATTTATTCTTGTGAGCTTTAAGCCATGTTATGCTGTTATCTCCTCAAAAACATACCCAGAGATGAGTTTCATTTACACATGTTTGAGAAACCTTTTATTATGAGTCTTTCTACATCTTCAAAGTTCAAAATGCTCTGTTCCACTTTGTGATGTCATTTAGTGGTAGTTTCAAGTCACCAGCTACCTCTTTCAGTTTAGTTGAGACTGGCAATTCCAGGACTGAAATCATCCAAATGATTCTATGGAGTTTAAAAACACAGTGGAGCACTTCCTTTACATGATGACATCACAAGGTGATACAGAGAGGTTTCTGTCTGAAAGAAGACTAAATATGTAGGTACAGGTACAGTAATCCATTCAAAAACTAGTATCGAAACTAGAAACTCATACACATTTGAGCAAGTATCGATATGAATAAAGTCACATTCACAGGACAGAATTGAACCTTTCCTGAATAGTCTGGAATGATCTTGAGCTGCACATGGACCACTGTTGAACCTACCCTTCATCATTGTGGTATCAGGATCGGCACTGAGTATCAAATCTATTCCGTAGTATCAAAATCGAGTTTGAAGTTGTAGAGAAAGTGGAAAAAATCTTTAATTCAAAACTGAATGCAGCACAAAACACAAAAAAAGTCCGAATCAACCTCAATGTGTCCTCTCTGACTGTCCACTTTCTAACTGTGGGGCCACACTACAAACTGCTATCAAACATTCTCAACTGAAACACTAAAAAGCTCCATTTCTTCTTTTGGTAATTCCTCTCATCTGCATATCACAGCGTTTAAAGGCATACACTGACTTCTAAAAATCCCCTGGCAAGTGGCTCTTTCCTCGCGTTCTGAAAGATCAAATAAAAACACTCTTATTACCATTCTCCCGAGACACTGCGGCAGGATCTAATATTTGCTCGTCATTAATTTTGTTGTCCATGCTTAATCAAACAAATACCTTATGAAATTGTATTTAGGGATTTGCTATTTGTTCAAGAGCTATTTGCCTTTGTTCTTGCGCGCTTTTGTCGTGCTCCCAGACATTACTAAAGTATCTATGTCGCGGTGAGAAAAGGGGGGGGCATATTTGGTGTAAATCTTAGAGGCGGATAGGACAATAGAGCATGTGCGGATTAGGCCTATTTAATAATACGAGCACAAAGGCGTTCTGTTCTTTTTAAATCTTTACGGGATTTCATAACGCGTGTGAATGGGCGTGCACGTGGGGGCCGTACGCGCTCGCTCCGTCAATACCACTCTGCTTCCTTTCCCATTGTAATTCCTTTAATTAAAGTGATTTTATTCACAGGCACACAGCTGGCACCGGCTACTTTTCCATTAGCCATCTGAGTGGACGGCTCGTTCAGATCGCGGCTGCTCTGGGGCGACTTCCTATGGCGCGCACAATACTATTTTCCTCTCCCAGCTGAGTTTGTTGTGTGTTTTGAATTTATTAATCATTGATTTTAATGCGCCGCCTCTTGACAGTGGCAGCTACCCACGCATTAATTAATTCCCGGCTTCCCGCGCCTTACAAAATGGCATTTAAGAAACAATGAGAGGTCGGCTAGTGTTTCCTCTGACCTATAAATGGAACGCGTCAAAAAAGCGAAATGTCAAAATTTGCTTTTATTTGTTCTTCCCTCACGGATGTTTTCGCCGCGTCTTTTTCTGATTTTGCTCAGGTTA